CGGCCCCCAGCCCACAGCCGTGGGAGGATGAGATGGAGACGTGGCTGGCTCCCTGCAGGGCCCGGTGGCTTTGCCTGGGGAGCTGGTGGGAGGATGGGGGAGAGGAGAAGGCAGCGGTGGGCAGTGACCCAGCTCGGTGGTGCCCAACCCAGTGGTCCCTGACCCAGTGGCTTGGTGGTACACACCCAGTGGTACTTGATGTGGTGGTACGTGACCCAGCAGTTCAGTGGTCCCTGACCTAGTGGCTTGGTGGTACCCAACCCGGTGGTACCCAACCCAGTGGTACCTGATGTGGTGGTATGTGCCGCAGTGGCTTGGTGGCATTCAACCTGACCCAGTGGTTTGATGGTCCTTGACCCAATGGCTTGGTGGCACCCAACCTGGTGGTCCCTGACCCAGCCGTTTGGTGGTCCATGACCCAGTGGCTTGGTGGCACCCAACCTGGTGGTACGTGACCCAGCAGCTGGGTGGTCCCTGACCCAGTGGTTTGGTGGTACCCAACCCAGTGGTACCTGATGTGGTGGTATGTGCCGCAGTGGCTGGTGGCACCCAACCTGCTGGTACATGACCCAGCAGTTGGGTGGTCCCTGACCTAGTGGCTTGGTGGTACCTGACCCAAGTGGTACTCAACCTGGTGGTCCCCGACCCAGTGACTTGGTAGTCCCTGACCCAGTGGCTTGGTGGGACCCAACCCAGTGGTACCTGATGTGGTGGTACATGTCGCAGTGGCTTGGTGGCAACCAACCTGGTGGTCCATGACCCAGCGGTTTGGTGCTCCATGACCCAATGCCTTGGTGGTACCCAACCCAGTGGTACCTGATGTTGTGATATGTGCCACAGTGGCTGGTGGCACCCAACCTGGTGGTACGTGACCCAGCAGTTGGGTGGTCCCTGACCCAGTGGCTTGATGATACCTAACCCAAGTGGTGCCCAACCTAGTGGTCCCTGACCCAGTGGTTTGGTGGTACCCAACCCAGTGGTACCTGATGTGGTGGTTCCTGCCGCAGGGGGTTTGTTTGGTACCTGATGTGGTGGTTCATGCCGCAGTGGCTTGGTGGCACCCAACCTGGTGGTCCCTGACCCAGTGGTTGACTGGTCCCTGACCCAAGTGGTACCCAACCTGGTGGTCCCTGACCCAGTGGCTTGGTGGTACCTGACCCAAGTGGTGCCCCATGGAGTGGGGGGGGTCCGGGGGCTCCGGGGGACCCTG